TTCGATGATGCCGGCTGGCACACTGATTCACTATGAATGTAGGCCGCACCCCCTAAAGGCAGAAGCTCGTACTACATCCGGTTCGCCCTATATTGACACAGTCTTGAAACTTTCCGATCGCACCTCGTATTTTGGAAGTGCTAGATGTCATCCAAAGTACAAGGAAATGAATACTGTTTTGCTCAAAGAAGCTACTTAAAGGTAGTTTTGGCTTAGTTTTTACTCATACCTAGTCTGTATAACACACAAATGACAACTAGATATATTATGTGAAAATACATTTTTGTGTTATTAAATGTTACTTTCTCAACATTAGTCTGTTAAAGAATGAGGACAATAATAAAAATCTTAAGAAGAAAATTTTATTTGGCATCAGAAATATGCATTACCAGACTATATTAACACAGTGAACAATGATTGTGTCTAGTGAGACATACTGTACAAGCTACATGACAACATCTAAAATACTATATTATATTTTACTCACGCTGGGTATTCAGGTACAGATCCTTTGTAGGGAGGCACATCCTTGACATAATTTGTGTGCAGCCATTTGACCTTGAAGTGAAGATTCATGTAGGCCGAGGATTTGCACAGACGGTGTTGCTCATGCTCCTCCAGTGCATACTTCACATCCACTGCAAATAGACTCCACATTGTGGCTGCTGATAACTAGAAATTAAAACATATTTCAATAAAGAATCTTATGCACAGAAAATCTTATGTGAAGTGACTACAAAAATTTATAGTCCTTCATGAAGAAAATATATTTTCTTCTAATTTATATATTACTATATAATTTTTAAAATTAATTGTGCTTTAACAAGTCTAAATTAAAAACAAAAGAAAATTATACATTTGCTACATTTTTGTTAGACACAAGTGCAATTTTTGGGCCACATTTATCATTCATTATAATTAAATGCTATTAATTAGTGCAAACATGAATATATTACTGAGAGTAAGTTATAAGTAGCTTCTACTTTGTACTTTGATCAATATAAATGCATTTTCTGTGAATGTATTCAGATACCTGCAAAGTATTATATTAGCACTTAATAGATTGCAGCTAAAATATAGGAGAAACAGTGCAGTAACAATTCTTTGACATACTTACGGATTCTCTGTGCATATGCTGCATCTTTGTACTCTATGTCAATTCATGCAGCAAAGGTTTAAAAGTTTTAGCATGGAAATTGTAAGGTGACTGAATGTTTGCACACACAGTTAATAGTTAGGTTATACCTGCCCAATGTTGAGCTCCTGGGGAAACTGGTTGAGGACAGGTGCATAACTATTGCGGTCTTCTTCAATGACCGATACAATGAGTGCTATCAGTTTGTGCCAAAAATCAAGACTATCTAGCCGAGGCCCATGGTCCTCTTGGTCCCTCTTTGCTTCATTTGGATCCACCTGTAAGATTTCACGACATGTGAAAATACTTCAGCATAACCTTCTGCAAAATTCCTTCTTCATCCAAACTAGTACTAGGCTTCTTTCATGCCATAATGGTCACATACAGCAGTTCAAGAACTGTCAGTATTGAGTTCATTTTGGAAAAAGCCATAATAAAT